AACTTACCGTCATGCATCACATAATGTTTTATATGCCAAAAATATCATTTATTATACAAATCATATTTAAATTGTTCATAATTAATTGGTATTTTCATAGAATATTTCCAGGAATATTTTCGGAACACTGGAATTGGGGAAAAATCGATTTACTCAATAAATTAATACAAAAATCGATTTTTAAATATATATTAATCTATTAAATATACAAAAATCGATTTTATAACATATATTAATCGATTAAATGGAAAAAAATCAATTTTATAATACAGTTTAATCGATTTTATACTTTACTATAATCGATTATTATTATTTTTTTATTTTGATACGCGTTATCTGAACAAGTTTTAATCGATTCTTAGGAACAAAATAATCGATTTTCGGTCACTGTTCATCGTCTTCTACCTTCGGTCCATTTTCGGACATACCAATTTTAGTTACCAAACTTCAATTAAACTATATAGAAATGTTCTCCAAGGTTCATAGATCATTTTAGAATCATTAAAACATATTTTTAACATCAAATTCAAGGTTTATGATTCTTGGTTCTTCAAACATGTCAAACACAAAACTCAACCAAATGACCATTTAAGAACGTAAGAACAACCTATATGAACATTCTAATCTTTAGATATATCTACGGGCTTACTACGAAGCGTAATGGAGGTTTTGGAAATTTTCCGGCGAAACTTCTCGAAAGGATTGTGGCTATCTCCGGCGACCTCACACCAATATGACAGCACCACTGCGTTCTACACACTCTAAGCTAACTCTCAGAAGCAATTTGGGAAGAAATGGTGAAGAATTGGGTAGGAAGAGGTGGTCCTTATATAGCCTTAGTGAAGAGGAAACAGACACGGTGATGACCTCCTTTCGCTTGTTTCGGCGGCTGAGTGGAGTGGGCTGCTATCTTCACCGATTCTAAACGTAAGTCCCTGATTGGGACTAATTTGGTCCCAGTCGGGGAACACTATTTGGTCCAACTTTCTCCGAATTGAAATCCGATTAAACCGTTGGAATCGAACAGTCAAACTCTACATAATGATAAAATTTTTATTATTTATTGACCAACTTTATAATTCACATATTTTTGGGTCCTTCTAAGTAATTATTTAATTATCAATTAATTAATTCTAATAGGCCTATTTTCGGGGCGTTACATGGAATGCTGACATGTCAAAAAGGTTGTCTTATAATCGTGCCACATGTCACAATCCTAGAAGCCCAACTCTCAAATTTTATATATAAACATATAGATTTACTTTAGTCCTACTAATCTATCCCTTCTTGGAAGAAATTTCTTTGTTTTGTTTTTTTAAATATGAGTTCCTTGTTTAAATACTACGTATCAAAATATATTATTAAATTTTAATATTTTCCAATAATGAAGTAAAATATAAAAATTTTTAAACGCGATTATGCTGAGAAATATGTGTTTAACAAATACGAAACTCAATTTCCATAAAATAAGTGTTTTTGTTAACTAATTCTTTAAATATTACTTGCTGACATGGAATGCTGACATGTCAAAAAAAGTTGTCTTATAATCGTGCCACATGTCACAATCCTAGAAGCCCAACTCTCAAATTTTATATATAAAGATAAAGATTTACTTTAATCCTACTAATCTATCCCTTCTTGGAATAAATTTGTTTGTTTTGATTTTTTTTAATATGAGTTCCTTGTTTAAATACTACGTATCAAAATATGTTATTAAATTTTAATATTTTCCAATAATGAAGTAAAATATAAAAGTTTTTAAACGCGATTATGTTGAAAAATCTGTGTCTAACAAATACGAAATTCAATTTCCATAAAATAAGTGTTTTTTAACTAATTATTTAAATATTACTTGCTCACATGGCATGCTGACATGTAAAAAAAGTTGTCTTATAAGCGTGTCAGATGTCACAATCTTAGGAGCCCAACTCTCAAATTTTATATATAAAGATTTACTTTTGTTCTACTAATCTAACCCTTCTTCGAATAAACTTGTTTGTTTTAATTTTTTTAATATGAGTTCCTTTTTTAAAAACTACGTATCAAAATATATTATTAAATTTTAATATTTTCCAATAATGATGTAAAATATAAAAGTTTTTAAACACGATTATGCTGAGAAATCTAGGTTTAACAAATACGAAATTTAATTTCCATAAAATAAATGTTTTTTTAACTAATTCTTTAAATACTACTTGCTCACATGGCATGGTAACATGTCAAAAAAGTTGTCTTATAATCGTGCCACATGTTACAATCCTAGAAGCCCAACTCTCAAATTTTATATATAAAGATTTACTTTAGTCCTACTAATCTATCCCTTCTTGGAATAAATTCGTTTGTTTTGATTTTTTTAATATGAGTTCCTTGTTTAAATACTACGTATCAAAATAAATTATTAAATTTTAATATTTTTCAATAAAGAAGTAAAATATTAAAGGTTTTAAACGCGATTATGCTGAGAAATCGGTGTTTAACAAATACGAAATTCAATTTCCATAAAATAAGTGTTTTTTAACTAATTCTTTAAATATTACTTGCTGACATGGCATGCTGACATGTCAAAAAAGTTGTCTTATAAGCGTGCCACATGTCACAATCCTAGAAGCCCAACTCTCAAATTTTATGTATAAAGATTTAATTTAGTCCTACTAATCTATCCCTTCTTGGAATAAATTTGTTTGTTTTGATTTTTTTAAATATGAGTTCCTTGTTTAAATACTACGTATCAAACTATATTACTAAATTTTAATATTTTCCAATAACGAAGTATAATATAAAACTTTTTTAAACGCGATTATGCTGAGAAATCTATGTTTAAGAAATACGAAACTCAATTTCCATAAAATAAGTGTTTTTGTTAACTAATTCTTTAAATATTATTTGCTGACATGGGATGCTGACATGTCAAAAAAGTTGTCTTATAAGTGTGCCACATGTCACAATCTTAGAAGCGCAACTCTCAAATTTTTTATATAAAGATTTCCTTTACTCCTACTAATCTATCCCTTTTTGGAATAAATTTGTTTGTTTTGATTTTTTTAATATGAGTTCCCTATATATTGAGACCCCCTCTCTTCATTTTTACACACACAAACACAAATCTCTTAATTTTCAAGCAAATATCATCATCTCTACACCTTTTTCTTAAAATCTTCTCATCCAAATGGGCAAAGACAAGAGTAGGGCAAGAACATCCGGGAAATCCAAGGCCAAATCCCGGGCTACAACGACAACTTCCGAGGAACGCCTCTACTATGGCGACGGGTCGTACCTTTGGTTCGATTCCGAGGAGGAACATACCCGCTTCCTGACCTTCTTCTCCAAGCGGGTTGTGGCTCCACCACGGATCGTCCTGGAGCGTTTGCCGGAGTTGCTAGGCTACGACTTTCTTGAAGCACAGCTCCACCAAACCGGGCTATGGCCGTTCGTCTCCCGGGCTCGGAAGGAGATCAACCCAGTGATGATTCGGGTGTTCTACTCCAACCTCCGGCGTGAGGAGAACATGCTCTACACCCACGTCAAGAGCACGCCGATCGAGCTCACCGTTGAGCAGCTTGGGCGCATCGCTGGCCTTCCCTACTAAGGCGACGACATCTCCAACTATGGCGGAGAGGATTGGGTGCTCAACAACGAAGGCCTTGTCCTCAACGAGCTTGGCATCACCTAGCTCATCCACCACGCCACGGGCCGCCCCACCATCCACTTCGCGACCCCCGAGAGCTGCCTCCTTCTCTACATCGTGTCCCGGATACTCAAGCCCTGGAAGCACGGGCACACGATCATGTCCGGCGAGGACCTCAAGCTCCTCCACGCCATCATGCACTCGGCGCCGATCAATTGGGCGAAGTTCGTCATGATTAAATGACGGACGCCACGTCTACCGCCCACGATCACCTCCTCCCTTACCCCTTCTTGGTGATTGACATCCTTGAACGGTTCAAGGTGACCACCACCGTTGGCCCGCTCACCAAGGCCACGAATATTTGGACGATCAGCGCCCAAACCTTCAAGAAGCAGTCGAACAACGCCGCGACTACCACTGCCGCACGCCGCCGCACTGCTGATGGCCCAGCCGACTCCCTCAACCGGCTGCACTTCAAAGTTGACGGGATGGACGGGTATTTTGAACGGCTCGAAGAAGCGGTTCAACGCCAAGGGCACGCCATGAACGCATACTTTCAACGCGTCAACTACGTCCCCCCACCGTACCAAGGCACGTTTCTTGGGCAGGTGTACGGTGACGAGGACGAAGAGGATGGCTCTTACGCCCCGTCAAGCTCCCCAGACGAGGATGAGTTTGACGAAGCCATTGACGGTGATGAGATGGACGTCGATGATGACGAGGAGGAAACCGAAGACGAAGACTAGGCTGCCCCTAGACTTTCTATCTCGTTTTTATTATTCAACTGTCATGTTTTTTTAATTAGTTGCTTCCGTTGTACTCCGCTATTTCCCAATTCAATAAATAAAACTTATCTTTTATCTTTTTTTTAATGTCAAAATGGGGAAGAAAAGAGCTATACATATACTAAGGGGGAATGTCTCTAAAAACGGGATCGTTTGCTTTTAAAATGACTACTTGCTTTTAAGCAAAAATTAAGGGGGAAATTTTTCACACCTTTTTTTTAAAAACCGAACATCCCTTAGTATGCATATCCCCGTCTTGTTTGCCATTATCAAAAAGGGGGAAATTGTTGGAACACGGGTTTACGCCTACGTCGTACTAAACCATGTTCATTTTATGATAGGTTTTGATAATGCCAAACCGCCGTGATAACAAGGTTAAACTAAGCAAATCCAAGGCGAAGGAACATGGCATGATGAATTGAGAATCGAGAGCCAAGAACCAAGAACGAAGACTTAGGAGTAAATTGAGTCGGTCTTAATGTGATCAAGACCGACACGAAGTTCTAAACTTGGCTCTCTAGGCTCATTTCATTAAAATATTATTTTGCATATTCAAAATATTTTTCATCAAGTTTTAAACAAACCTAAAAACACTTGGTGTTCGCCCAAACCAAAAACCAAGCCATCCGACATCCGGTTTTCAGAAACCGGCGTTCGGCATTCGGTTATCGGCGTTGGTTTTTGGCGTCCGAACAAACCAAGTGGTTTTCAAAATTTTATGATTGTGTTTTACTTCTGGGCATATTTAAATAGTTCTCCAACAAAAACGCTTCAAAAACCACCCCTCGTTTTTGGTCGTTTAGTAAAAACCATGCGAAACGGCATAAACTTGGCTAGCCGTGGTTTTTATCTAAATGACGTGGTTTTCAAGATGTTTCACTTGATTTCTTAGCAAAATGCATTAAACAAATGTTTTCAATACTTGGTTTTTATGTTGGAGAACTTAGATTTTTGACATCGGCTAACGGCATGACTAAACCAACCATGGGTCTGGCTAAACCAGCCCAATAGCGATGTTGGGGTGACCAACAGCGCTGTCTGGCATGGGCAGCTGAAAACCATGGTTTGGCGTTAAGTTTTCCAGCAGTGATGTTGGTGTATGGACATCGCTGTTGAGCCAAGGTTGGGTTTCCAGAAACATTTGGAACAGCGATGTAGACCCCTCTACATCGATGTCCAACCTAAGCCAAAAAGAAATGCCTTTGGCAGAAAGTTTTTGGATAGCGCTGTTGACCCAGCAACAGCGATGTCAGGCTAATTCTTCACCCTTCGAAGTCAGGCATGAACATCGATGTTCAAGTAATGAACATCGTTGTAGGCACCTGACTGTTGGAAGGAATTTATGGCTAAAACTTTCCTTGTTTGGAAGTCAACAGCCCAAACAGTGATTTGGGGCTTTTGGACATCGCTGTTGGCTTGACCATTGCTTCCTGATTTTCAAAATCTAAGCGTAGAACAGCAATGTCCAAGCCATGGACAGCGTTGTCTGGCTGATTTTCAGCAGATCCAATTTTAATCAAATCCCCCAAATTATGCCAATCACCCCCATTCAACTCCTACCCATTGGAGCCTATTTTTCTACTATAAAATGGGGTGTTTGGGTTTGCTTTACACATCACATTACTTCACAACTCTTATCATTCATTGCATGACATTGATACATTATTCATAGCTTTTTGAGAGCCACTTTTGTGAAGTTCGTGTTGTGTTCTTGAGCGTTCTTAGTTACTCATTATCCACTCTAAAAGAGAGTATTGTTCTTGAGTGATTTAGTGTTCTTAGACACTTGATAAGAGAAAGTCTTTCTCTTGAGTAGTTCGAAGGAAGGGTTGTTTCCTTCGAAGGGCTATTGAGGTTCGTGTGACTCGAACTCTCAAGTTGTACGGGTTTGTTAAGCACTGTTAAGCTTAACGTTGATAGTGTAGTTCGAGAGAGTCTCTCGGGAGGCTGAACTAGCCATATGTTGTGGTGAACCAGGGTAAAAACGGTGTGCCTCTTCCTTGCTCTTTACTTTACACTTTTAATTTTTTATTCTTGCGTCATTTTCGTTTCAAATGCTATTCACCCCCCTCTAGCATTAGGACGTTTTTCTAACAGTAATGTCCTAACGGCATACAATTAGGTCTGTGAAAATCATTTTGGTCACTATTTTAACAATATATATAATGAAACTTTACTCCACTTAAATATTCTACACTTTTCATATGTTCTATGTGTGTGACCATATTCTAGGTATTTATAAAATTGGCCATAGTATTGATCAAATACTACAAGTGATAAGCGGTATGTATCAACACATTATGACCCCCAAATTATAGATATAAAGCTCTTGGAACAAATCCTTCAACGGCACATCTTATTTGTATAACCCTTATCCTTTATCACTAATATCTTGATTTAACACAAGGCATGGGGCATGTCACCTTCTTTGAGTTAAATAGATGGTTTACTAATTCTTCGATTGACTTGTGGGATTCAAATAACATATTTATTTGGGCATGGCCATCCACTTCCTAAGTCACATCAATTAGTGGGCCCTTAGATACTATACTTTATTAAAGAAGGGATAAATTTTATCTACGTCATTCACATCCCTACTTAAGCTTCAATGGATACCAAAAACATAATTGTGCATCCACCAATATTTCAGGTGGCATAAATCATGCTTCAAAGTATGCAAATCAGATTATCAGAGATCGTAATGGCTTCAAGTCGAAAGATAGTTATACTAATGGTCGCATGAAAATAATATTAACACTTTAACTTAAACCCATATATATTATTCTCATAGCGGGTCAATACAACAACATATCCAATATGTTGGGAAAAATATTATAGATTTTGATGATGATGTATTTAGATTTTAATAAGGACTTTAGGTCACCCCAATATTCAATGTAATTTTTCTTTTTAGAAATATTGTTAAAACCGAGTTCTTGAGATTTCCAATAAAGTTGTGATATTTCACTCTGTGGTTTGATGTCAATCCGTGAAGGCTTAATCAAATTCAGTGATATGGAAATTGGAACTCGTGATCGGAAATGTCAGAGACAAGTAAGGGATTCTCAAAGCAGTTGAAGATTCTCTAATCTGGAACACTCCATGATAACCGGATGTCTCGCAACAATCCGCTGAAGACTAAGTCATCCTAATCGGAAGACTAGCGCAGATCTCTTTCTCACCTGGAAGTCTATGAATGACTTTTCTAGAATCGTCAGCAAAGATCCGGATGCCTCAAGAAAGACCGGAACTCTCAGAAGAAGACAAGTGAGAAAAGACTTACACTATGTTTGGTTTATGGAATTTGGAAGGAAAAGAAAAGAAAATGGTTTTCCATTAGTTTCCTCACCAAAATGGAGGGAATTTGGTTTTCCATCCTTTTAATACATTTTGCTTTCTCTTTTTTTTTCCTTCCACTTTTCTTTTCTTTTCCTCTCTAACCAAACAAGAAAAAATATTTTCCTTCTCATTTTCTTTTCATTTCCCTCTCAAATTCCTTGAACCAAACATAGTGTTAGAATCAATCTCTTGAATGAAGAAATTCTACCCGTTGGTAAGGAAAAATCAATCTCTTGATTTTCAACGGCTAGATTGAGGATAATTAAGCTGATTCAAGAACAAATGACTTGAAGACAAAGTCTGGACTTCTCAAATTAAAGAGCTCGCCCAGAATTCCTAAACAAACACAAGAAGACAAACTGAGTACTCCACTCAATAAAGAGCTATAGTCCAGAATTCTTGAACAACAGCTAAAAGATAGATTCTGTGAAAAAAGAATCCTTCCTCAAACAATTGGGTATGTCCAAACACCCATTCTAATGAAGAATCCTCAATCTCACTCTTCATTCAAAATGAAGCCAGCAAAGGCAACAGATAGTCTATTGTCTTTCAATGGATAGATTATCCAATCCAGCTATATATAGCGTCTTTGGAAGACTGGAGAAAAAAAATATGAGATAGCGAACACAAACTACAACAACGACGAACTAACACTATCTCATTCACAGTTAACCAAAAGCTTGATAAAGAGAGATTTCTAAACTCCTTATCCAGAAGCAAACTTCTCATCCTTCCAAAGAGCTATAGTGTAAACACTTGAAGGTTTCCTTGCCTCAAGTACCACATCACGTTGAAGGATACAATTTTTAATCAAACTTCTTGATTAAAAAGGGGGTACATCAACTTTTCTAGAAGTTGATCTTGCAAGTCCTATTGTTCGGATCTTGCAGTTGTTGAAGAAGCTTGACCTTCGAAGGAACAACAAAGCCAGCACGAGTGCAGTAGCAACCTTGCCCTTGTGAAGATATACCGTGCAGAAATTCACACAAGTGTAATTGTTGGTTCATTATTCAACAACCAACTACATTGTGGATTTTGAGGACATAGAAGGATTACCCCACCTTCGAACCTCGTTAAAGTTTGCGTGTCTCTCTCCTTTATCTTTACTTACACTTGCAATTATATTAACTGTGAGACCAAACCATCCATATTGATTACTGCTCTAATAACCCACCAACTTCCGCACACAATCTAAAGTTCACAAGAACTCTAGATTAACACTCATTTTCATGTTTTCAAAAGAAACGAAAAAGTTTTTAAACTTGTAACAAAGTTTATTCACCCCCCTAGACTTTGTATCTCACCACTTCGGGACCATCAATTGGTATCGGAGCAGGCTTCTCACTATCTACATTTAGATTAAAGAAAAGCGATCATAATGGTGAACAATATGGATCACGGTTTGCCCAAGTTCTCTCTTCTAGGTTATGATGATTGGAAGATCATGATGGAAGCACACCTCTATGCCCTACATGATTGCATGTGGATGATGCTTGAAGACGGACGGACCCTTAAAGATTCAAATGGAGAATCCTGAGAGGAATCCAACTAATCCTGATGTAGTCCAGTACATTCCAAAGCCCAAGGAGAAATGGGATGATAGAGATTGCAAAAAGCACAATCTGGACAACGTCACCAAGGTAGCCATTTTCAAGACACTTGATCCCATCACCTTTGAGGTTCCCGTTAAGGAAAGCCGTCTTGACGTCCATCTGCCAAATCTCGTAATTGTAGAACGCTGCAATCGCAAGCATTATCCGAATGGACTTCAGCATCACAACTGGAGAAAAGGTTTCGTCATAGTCAATTCCATGGATTTGTCTATAACCTTTTGCTACCAATCTAGCTTTGAAGGTATGAACCTTCCCGTCTACGTCTGTTTTCTTTTTGAAAATCCACTTGCACCCTATGGGTTTTATCCCTTTGGGCGCATCAACCAAGGTCCAGACTTGGTTTGTGTACATAGACTCCATTTCGGATTTCATGGCATTAAGCCATTCTTCGGACTTGGGGCACGTGATTGCCTCGAGGTAGGTCTCAGGTTCGCCTTGGTCTACCAGTAAGACGTCACCTTCATCAGATACAAGGAAGCTAAGCCATATCTAACCGGAGGATTACGCATCCAGTCTGACCTACGTGGTAAAACTTGAGCCGGTCAAGATACTAAATCTTGACGCTCGGGTTCTACTGCTATTGAGATATCTTCTTGTGGTTCTCGAATTTCTTCGAGGTCTACCTTTCTCCCACTAAAAATAGTAGAGAGAAACTCCTTCTCAAGGAAGGTTCCGTTCCGAGCAACACAGATTTTGTTATCGGCCGGATGATAGAACTCATACCCTTTCGTTTCCTTGGGGTATCCCACAAATTTACACCTGTCAGATTTGGAATCAAGCTTACCAGACGTCATGAGGCGTCTAACATAAACATCACAACCCCAAATGCTCAAGTACGACAAATTTGGTTTCGTCCCACGCCATAGTTCGTATGGTGTGCTCTCAAACGCTTTAGATGGTACGCGATTGAGTGTGTGTGCTGCTGTTAATAGTGCTTTGCCACAAAAAGACTCTGGTAATGTTGTCAGACTCATCATACTCCGAACCATATCGAGCAGCGTTCGGTTTCTCCTTTTAGAGACTCCATTTAATTGGGGTGTACCGGGAGGAGTCAGCTGGGATAGGATCCCGTGCTCTTCTAGATAGTCGTCGAACTCCAGGCTTAAGTACTCACCTCCTCGATCTGAGCGGAGGGTCTTGATACTTTTGCCTAATTATTTCTCTACTTTGTTTCCGAATTCTTTGAACTTGTCAAAGCATTCCGATTTGTGTTTCATGAGATACACATATCCATACCGACTGAGGTCGTCAGTAAATGTTACGAAGTATGAGAAACCACCTCTAGCTTCAGTGTTGATTGGGCAACATACATCAGAGTGTATGGGGCCTAATACATCACTCGCCCTTTCACCATGACCGGTGAATGGAGCCTTTGTCATTTTACCGAGTAAACAAGATTAGCATACATCATAAGACTCGAGGTCAAATGAATCAAGTACGCCAGAGTGACGTAACTTAGATATGTGTTTCGCGTTAATGTGACCCAAACGACAATGCCAAAGGTATGTGAGATTCAAACTGTTTGGTTTGCTTCTCTTAACATCTACATTATAAACGGTGGTGTCTAAGTCTAAGATATAAAGACCATTGGTCATCTTAGCAGTTGCATAGTAAATATCATTTCAGAAAACCGAAAGGCAGTTGTCTTTGACGTTAATAAAAAATCCTGCTATGTCAAGACATGACACAGAAATGATATTCCTGCTAATGGCAGGTACAAACAAGCAATTGTTTAAATGCAACAACAAGCCACTAGGGAGAGATAGAACATAAGTTTCTACAGCCAGCGCATTGACTAGTGCTTCGTTTCCAACCTTAAGCTGGACTTCTCCCTCAGCCAAATGTCTAACTTCATGCAAATTCTGCATGGAAGTACAGATGTGAGAACCACATCCGGTATCCATCAGCCAAGAGGTGAAATCGGACATGTTGACTTCAATAACGTAAATAGCCGAGTTTTTGGGGTGACTCTGGAATAGGTCTTTCAAGCGTTGTATCATAGGACGCGCTACCATGTCCGGGTGGAGCCTTTGGAGCTCTGCAGTCATACTGGCCATAATGATACACTTAACATCTCGCACGTCGTCCTCATACTTCTTGAAAGAAGTGAGTTCGGACGCACAAGCATTTGCATCAGGGGTCTTGGGAGGATCCGTTTCGAGGATGTAGAGTTTCCTCTCACAGTCAAAAACGATTCAGAAGTTCTTCTCCCAGTCAAGAAAGTTTTCCCCGGAGAGGTTTTGGCTCTCGAGGATATAGTGCAGGTTGATGGAATGACTGTACGTGTTATTCGATGCCATCTACAAAATGAAATGGCAAACTAGGTTATCTATCATGTTGAATAATTAACTAGGCCTTTTAATTAATTATTTCCCACTATTTTAAGAAACCAACAACCCTCAATGTTGACTCGGAGATTCTCCTAGAGATTCTCTTAATGGGCCAAGATCCATATATCATTAAATTCCAGTTGACTTGAGGTTCGTACCTAGAATTTAACTATTTAGGTAGGAACATAGTTCCAACTGTCGAGCCGCGCTCACAGTTCTTGGTCTTGTGTTGGGCAAACTACAATACTACTAACGGACGAGAACATCGTTTCATCGTACATGTGATTGGCTTTGGCACGTACCACATGCGCAACTACTTTAGTTAGGGCAAAGCCCAATTAAGTCATAGAGACCCAACTTCTAGCTGGATGAGTGAGTAAAGTAATTCGACTTGTTAGTATAGTGACCCCAACAAAACCCGCCTCTGAGTCATCCATCCATTTGACCGAGACTTAGTTAAGTCTAACCCAATGTCTGACAATGACCACTTAAGTGATTCCCATGACTAGCATAACATACACCGTACTACGCTCTGCTAAGGCTGAGTACGTGACAGTACACATTAGCCGGAAAGGTGTCGGGCGCCGGAAGGCAATATAGACTTAATGTTTCGAGGGATTTTAAATTTTACGATCTCACCTACGACACATGCCGCGCATGTGTCAATTTACTAGCGTTAAACATACATTCACATGCATTCAAAATACACAGTAAATAAACGTGTAATGATTGTGGCCCGTAAAGGAAAAATAAAACAATAGCTCCCACTGACTTCCAAGCTCTTGGACTTCGGGCTATGTCCATTCCTTTAAATTCCCTCGAACGGACTTCAAATCCTTTATCTTCTAACCACCACATGAGAAAAGAATGCTCTGTTGAGGTAAGAGAGAAAGATTTACAACAAGAGTTTAAGAGGTACGGCACGACACGCAGGCCGTATTATAATCAAATAAACTATAGCCACAATCATCCACCATGCATATCATACATCCACACAGGCAATAGAGATATACATACACCGGGCGAACCGCGCTCACCCTAGACAATTCTAGAAAAATACTACGTTGGTAATATTTTCTAAAATTCATAAAAATTCATAAAGTGGTCCAAAAATTATAAAATTTTACCAAGTTATCCTAAAAATATTATGTGACTTTCGGATAGGGTCAAAACTGGAAGAAAAAGTTCCAGTAAATACAGAATTACAGAAATGCCCTTTTGCCAATTTTATTTTGAAAAATCCATTTATATAAGAAATGAACTTTCAAAAATGATGAAAATTTATTTTCAACTTCCAGTAACTATTTTATACATTTATAAATCGGAAAAATAAATTTCCAGAATTTATAAATATTTATTTCCCAAATATATTAATTATATCTCAATAATTGCGATAACAATTTTAAATAATTTTTCAAAAATCATTAAATTATAAAATTTAATATTTAGAAAAATCAACTTACCATTTACTGAGATATAATTTTCCAAAATGATATTAGCCATTTTTCAATTAATATATAATATATATATATATATATATATATATATATATATATATATATATATATATATATATATATATATATATATATAA